CGAATGAAGAAATTAGCGAAGCTTTCCTTAGGCATTTGCTTCATCCAAGTCAGCCTCCTCCATGCCTCGTCTGCTTCATCAATGGGTCCGAACTTGGAACCAAATTCCCATTTAAACTCCATCCAGTCTTCGAGACAGGTATGCTCCCCTCTTAGTCATTGCCAATTCAACATATCGAAGTGGGAGAGTGCTGCACCAGTGAGATGACTGGCTGCCAAAGCGCACTTGTCCTTTTCACAAGCGTAGATGGTAGGACATACTCCAAACATCCTTTCCAAACTGAGAACCCACGTCTTCCATGCAGAAGGGTCGTCACCTGCGAAGCTCTCAATCTTACCAACGTCGAGTTTTGACTCAATGGTGATTCAATTTTTCTCCTCATTGCTCTCCCACATGTTTCATCCTTCGTTGGGGTTTCTTGGAGCTGTTTTTTGGTGCCAACCTTGCCTTGGGTCGTAGTACCAGGGTTGTTCAGGATCATAGTGGGTTGGAGGTGCCCCAGAAGCTCCCCTCTGTCCTCCTCTCTCCTTCCACCATTCCTACCCGACTGGGTGTGTTCCCCTTCATTGGAACCTTCAGAATCGTTATCACCCAATCCCCCTGAAGGTGGTGGAGGGGGGGACCCTCCCCTGCTTCTTCTTTCCTGTTTCCTTTGGTCCCGTCCTCCCTGGCTCAGAGGTCTTTCTCGATCTCTCGAGTAACTTGAGAGGTGTGGGGGAGGTTAGACCCTCCCTTACCTCCTCCACCTGCAGCTACTCCTCCATCCTCTAACACGTACCTTCCTCCCTCTGGTCTTACATACTCCCCTAGCTCTGCTCTTTGCACCTGAGCCCCCCATTCCTGAATACGTTGCCTGTCCACACTCGGGGTGGCAGGTGGCGGAGCTGTTTGTCCTTCCTGAGGGTTCCCTTCCCTAACTCCCATGGGAGTATGTCTAGTAAAGGATATTGGCTCCGTGGCCTGCCAGCTTCTTGGCTGGGGAGCTATCGGAGAGGGACCCCCCCCCTCGTGTCCTCTCTCATTACCATGGGCGCTTGCCTGAATGATCCTGCCATGTTTCCTGTTTTGGAAAACGGTCCCCTAGTCAGTATCCCCTCCGCTGCGAACCCTTTCTTTACCTCCCGGAGTTGCTCGTGAAGCATCTCGATGACTCGAGCCTGTTGTTGGATCATTTTTGTTGACTCTTGAGAGTGTACCGAGTCACTGACCATGCCAGATCGGTTTGTCCGAGCTCCCGTTACAAAGGGAGTTCCAAAAGGAGCTCCCTGCGGAGGTACCGCCTCTTCGTGAACTGCCAACATCCTTTGTTGGTTCGGATCCCTTTGACTCTCCGCTCCCACTGCCTGAGACTGTATCAATACTGACCCTTGATAGGGTATGACTGATGGATTGCTCAGTCTTGGAGGAATGTGTACAGGGTTGGGGACCAACCAAGCTGTCAGATCTTGTCCAGAGATCCGGGATGAATGTTGTGCACCATCCATCCTTACTTCACCGAACTGATATCGTTGTGTTGAGACTGGTGTTACGGGCTTCATTTGCAGGTTAACTCTGGGGGGAGGAGTCAAATTTTGAAGCAGGGCATGTACAATGGGGGAGGTCCCTGAGCATAACTGGGGGCTCCTCGTGGCTGTATTGCCGGGGTTAAGGAATTCAGGAAACTCGTTATTCCTGTGCAATGAATGTTTGCGTGCTGCTAAACGACCATCATAGCTTCGGAACTGCCTTTTCAGGTCAAATTGCTCCAGAGGGAACTCCCCTGCACTCTCTGGTTCACATTGAACCATATACGAGGTTCCCCAATTATCCGCGACCAGTCTGCGACGGAATTCCAAGGCCCTTTCTAGATTCAATCCGGAAAGTTCCTCCGACAGCATCAGAGTGTCTGATTCCGCTAGTAACGTCCGATGTCAGGTCTCCTGCGAACACAACATCGCTTCTGACTCCTCATTCCTCACCAGAAGTTGGTGCATATGTCTCATGGGCATGTATGTATACATCGTCTGTCCACTACGGACCCAGACAGGACTATCCTGATCGGGCATTGATTCCACTGGGGCAAGGAGGTGTGCAGTGGTATATCTCCTTCATCTACGATTTTTTGCAGTGATTATTGCCGTTTGTGAAATAGTTTGGACTCGTGCGAATTCATGCCCAAAACACTTTTTTGGTGCTAGATTCATAAGAGCTCTAGCGTGCTCATTTCTTCACCGTTTGTCGGGATTTTTACCGTGATTTCATGCCAGGGTCTGTATCTAGGGCCCCATGTAATTTGATATACATATATCTACTTTTTTGCTGCCATTGTTTATTGGGGCTCTTCCAGCTCATTTGGATTTTGGTGGCTGTATTTTTCACCTCGTAGCTATAAAAAGTATGTAGATATATTCTTCTATAATATATGGAGGACATGCCAGCCAAAGAACTGTGTTGTTACCTTTATACAGGTGACCTATGACTGTTGCTTCCTTCCTAATCTCACAACCTCTTTCTATGGCTAATGCAAGGCTCAAAAGAGCTCGTCAGTCTCGGGAAGAACGCGCTTCATCACAGCATGGCCCTGCTGCATCTGAAGAGCCTTCAGTTCCTACATTTACTCGGAGATCCAGAGGAAAGAAAACAACCGTGTTGCCTGGTGACAATGCAAACGCAGCTGAGCTTCTTATGAACCTGTCTCATCCACCAAAGTCAAATGAAGTTCTTGAAAGAGAGAAAGAGGAGCGATTGCAAAGTTGGATTGATGGAGAAATTTACCGTCATACCCAACCAAAGACGATCACCAAAGGTGTGTGTGCAGTTGCGCTTTCCATTTTTGCCAGTGACATTCAATCTAAAGAAGCTTCTTCCGTTTCAAATATAAGTCTATCAGAGGCTTCCGACTTATCTAAAGGACTGGATGCCACTCCTGCAACAATGAATGTATCCCAAAAAAAGTCTCATTTGAAATGCAAAGCTGCTGTACTCATCGGAAGTGACAGTGACGATGAAGACCTTGATTCTGACCCAGGTACTTTTGACATCAAGTACGAGGTTACACTTGGCAAGAAAGCTCGTGTTGACTGTGTTCTTGACAACAACACAACTTTCTTGGTTTTCCGTCAAAGAATCGCTTCTGAGATGGGTATTCCTCTGCAACAGTTATCTGCATTAGGCTACATTGCCTCGTTCTGGCCCCGAAGTCCCAAGCCTGTGCCAAAACTTGTTGATACAGATGCTCGATATGAAGACATGGTTGACATACTGGAAGAGTATATGAAGGTTGAATAGACAAAGCACGGCAAGCCCAAGAAGAAGAAGGCATTTAGCGTCATTCTTATAGATACAGGTGGTGAGAGTGACGGGAAAAAGGTATGCAAATGCTAATTCACATTTGGCCATTCTGGCTCTAATTTCTCTCCGATGACACAGAGTAGTAAAGCAAAATCACATGACAATGAAGGACCACCACTCGAGAATAACGCTGATGAGCAGGAGGTTCTAATTATGAGGCAAATTGTGAAGAACTTCTCATGTGCTGAGCATCCAAAAAAGGCATGCTATGTGACCACCGATGGTCCGCATTATGCTTTTACTGCAGGAGATCTTTCAATCTGGGCTGGATTAGTAGTGAGTGTTCCTCTAGTTGATTACCAGCATCATTATATGTCGGTTTCTAGCGTAAACATGAAGCAGTCCTCAAAACACCTCCCGAAGTAATTCTTCAAGGTATTGGTGAGAAAGCAGTCAAGCAAGGAAAATATGGAGTGGGACAGGCATCTACTGCATATGGTGCTCCTCCCCATTGGGGCTATGGTTATCTGCCTCCGCCTCCACCTCCTCTGGGATATTACACTACTCCTACTTATCCTGGTCATTATTCGAACATTCCTGCTCCCAATCCTGTTCCTGTAGCCTTCTCATCTCCTCCATCTTCACCTCAAAAGCCTGCTGAATTTCCTCATGTCAATGACTGGTTGGCAAAGTTGGATAGTGATGAGTACTGGGGGAGGGATAATCATAACTATATTCAGTTCACAACCATCTTCGCACATGAGGAGCTCACCCGTCTCGATGATTTACATCTGATAGGCAGTGCAGATAAGTTGCGGACACTCCTTGCCTGCAACTTAGGCAATGCAAACCGTTTGTGGAAGTATATTGTTGATGATATGGACTCAATTACCAGTGGTGGGAGGTCCTCCAAAAAGTGTCAAACGGCCTAGGCTTCATATCAGGTATGTATGATATGCAATGTCTATCACTGTACTAATTCGGTCCACCAGTTTCATCTGCCCCTTGCTTGCAGTTCCATTCTTTCACCATAACTTAGTTTTTGCACTGTATATAATGCCATGTCATTCAATAGCACATTTTTCAAAGGCTCAATGTAATGATATTCAAGCTAATACAAGCACCTTAGATATACTGACAGTGATGAAACCACGCTTCAGAACTCTCTGCAGAAACAGAGAAAGCTGCTTGTGTAAGATGTATGTATGCATAATTATCATCGTTGTCCTCATTATCCTGTCCAAGAACACCTGCCCTGTGTACATAGGCTTTTATCGAAGAAAAGGCGAGTTCAATGGGGTTGAAATCTGGTGAATAAGGGGGTAAGTACATTATATAGTATCCGCGACCTTCAATAAGGTCTCTAATTGATTCGTTGTGATGAATTCAAGCATTGTCCATGATGATATATGCTCCAGGGTCCATGTCCATGTCCATTCAGTCCAGCAAGCCTTCAAGAAAGGAGAGAAAGCGATGGGTTGTGAAGGAGCCTTCAATGACCTTGGAATAGACCATTCCCCTCATGGAAAGTGCTGGTAGAAGCGAGTACCTATAGAGAGCATTAGTCAAGCTAACGAAGACAAATATAGGAACACACACCTGCGGCCACGAACAAAGAAACACTTCCTTTCTGCTTTGCACCCTTTCAATGCCCATGCCCTGTTTCGAATTGATGTACGTCGATCAAATGAGCTTTCATCAACAAATACAGTGTTTCGTGGATTGCAGTGTCACCCAAATTCAAGGCGGAACTGTGCTCGCCGGTCTTCATTGCGCTCAATTGCAGCCCTACTCAACTACGCCTGTTAGTATGAATTACAAGCTGTATTGGAAGCACACACCTTCTTCATAGTAAAGCCTTGTCTATGAAGTGTTCTCCAAATAGTCGAATCATCAACACTTATTCCAAGACGGCTAGAAACAAGGTCTTGAAGTTCATCAAGATAGAGATCATTTCTCTGCTGGATGTTTCCTGTAAGGAACTTGGCCAATATTAGAACCTGTAAACATCTGGTGAAGCAGAGTGACATACCCCAACATTGGCTGTAGTGAGCTTTCTCTTTTGTCCTCGTATCTCATATGCAGACTCCTTGGTGCGCAAAATATGCCCATTCTTCTTGTATTCTGCAAAGAGGGCTCGAAGCGTGCTTCTAGGGACACCAGTTTGAGCCATTACTTTTGAAAAGGTGCAACGTGTGCCCATATAGATAAGAACTTGTCAAAGATCATCAGAGAAAGGGTGGCCGCGAGACATGAGATGGTGAATGTCGAAAGCAAACAGTGATTGCAATTTGCGGCTCTTGGTAACATGTCATGCGTGATCAGTACACCCTCTTTATACCATAAAAGAATATATCTACATACTTTTTATAGCTACGAGGTGAAAAATACAGCCACCAAAATCCAAATGAGCTGGAAGAGCCCCAATAAACAATGGCAGCAAAAAAGTAGATATATGTATATCGAATTACATGGGGCCCTAGATACAGACCCTGGCATGAAATCGCGGTAAAAATCCCGACAAACGGTGAAGAACTGAGCACGCTAGAGCTCTTATGAATCTGGCACCAAAAAAGTGTTTTGGGCGTGAATTCGCATGAGTCCAAACTATTTCGCAAACGGCAATAAATTGACATCCTCGTTGCATTCTTCATCGATTTTAGCTTCCGCAGCCACTAGGTTCGCTTTTCAAAGTATTTGGATGGCCTGATAGTTAGGAATGTTGACTCTCGAAGGGGGGGTTCGAATCGTACAGCTCCTGATCTGTAGTTAGATGCTTGGTACAGTATATGTAGCCCCGCTTCGCTGCAGAACTCCTTCTCTCTTCCATGGGTATGAGGGAGGAGGGGAAGTATTCCCCTCAAGTTTCGGAACGATCGTCCATAACGAGCCTCCACCTCTAACAATTCTAACATCCACTGCGGGTCCAATAGGACATTGTACAACCAGAGAAAGTCTGATCGGTTTGTCGGGGTCATCAGCCACTGTTGAGCCTTCTCTGGGAGGTCTATTTCCAGTTGAGTCCCCACTGTGAGGAACTGTACCCGTAGGTCTGAAAATTCGAGACCGTCTCCCAATGTTTTGATCCCCATTGACTCCAGGACTTCCCGTAAGACCATAGCTACATCCTCCGGAAGGCACTTCTGGATTCTAATGACGTCTTCCAGTCGCAATGTCATCTCCGACAATGGTTGCACTGGGAAGTTGGTCCTACTATGATGGATTGCATGAGTACGCTCCCAGTTGGGCGTATTCATAGCTGGACTCTTCAAGAGGCTGGAGAGTGAACCTTCTTGTCTCGGAGGAGGAGGGTTAAGGGACTGTACGGGAGGAGTCAGTAACCTCCTGGATGACACCCAAGATTGTTCGGATGCCACGGGCGATACCCTCCTCTCCGGAAGCTTCTCCTGTTTTTGTACTGTGAGAGGGTCCGCGTTTTCCCCTTGTTTTCTTTCTATAGCAGCTACTTAACTGCTGACTTGTCCACCTGCGTTCGAAGCTGATTCCATGTCTAGCTGCGTTACCGGTCCAGGGGGAGGTCCCCTCATTCCCCAGGTGGGAGAATAGGCGAAACCTCCCATGGGACTATGGGCAGGTTGGGCATAACCCATGGAGGTATACCTCCATTGTGGTGGTCCCATCCCAGGGTCCACTGGAGGAGGTTCCTGAGCCGCAGGTTGATGTCCCTCGGGTGTCCTTACATTGCTAGAGGGTTCATCCCCAAATGACTGTTCTGGGATAGACATCAGGCGTTGACCAGCTGCCACCGTGATGGTAGTAGAACTGGCAGCCTGGTTTAACTTTTGAGCTTGTGTTGTGTTTCCACAAGATAAGGCGCTCTTTTGTTTATTCGATCTGAGTTTGGAACTAGAAGGTCGTTCCATTGACGTTGCAGACATTTCGTCGCGACGAGTCCGTTCAGTGATGGGAGAGCTTGGTATAATGTAAGACCTCGGTCAGAATAGGTCTTAGGGTAGGTTTTGGTATAGTGAGTTTATGTTGTAGCATGCTAGGAGCAGGCTGGAGCTCGAAGGGAGCTACGGGAACTGCAACCGAGGACAGGAATGACCTAGTAGTGGCTGGGATTGAGAGATGTGACCCTTGAAGGGGTTCCTATAAGGTCCAGGGAGGTCCCTACGGCGTAGGGAGGGGAGGTGGAAGTAACAGGAACCTAGTAGCGTTGCGTAGTAGGAGTTGTACTCGCTAGAACGTCAACGTAAGATCAAATAGGTTGTAGTTGAAGTGGGTCTCGAACGTGTAAGCTCCTGAGAAGATATATGCCCGGGAGGGGAGGTCCCGGGAACTGGGGCTCAGAGGTGATGTCACGAAGCGGCAGAGGCGGAGTGACTAAGCAAGATGGTGAGGCGGAGCGACTAAGCAGGTCAGCGAGGCGGAGCAACTAAGCGGAGCGGAGGCAAACTGGTCCCAGATAATGACAGAGAGGTCAAGATAAGGGACCAGGCTGTGGAGGGTTGGCTATATATACATAATCCGGTCTGCGAGAAACGACGATGTAATACTGTACAGTTTAGGAACAAGGAAGGTGGCGGAAGCCAGTAGAAAGAGAAGATGGGTCAAGTGGATCAGTAATCGATGGGGGTTTGACAGTGATGGGATGATGTATCGTACAAGTAAAGGTGTCGAGACGGTGAGAAAAGGAAAATGATAGGGGCTGCGTACTTTATGACAGGTGAACTGTCATGAAGTCTCATGATGCGCCCTTTGATGCGCCATCAGCGGTGTGTTCCCATCAATCTCTTTTCACATGTTTATTGTACTTTATTACACAATCATCCCGCTAGTTCCATTTGTTTCCATACACTTCCATACAACTCATCCTTATTCATCGATTAGTTCATTATGATTCATTATCGACTCATTATTACTCGTATATATTGATTCCTCACTCTTGTTCTATATCACATCGTTATTTACAATTGATTAGACAAGAGTAGTATATAAAGGACAGTAGACAGATCCTAGTTCCCCATCTGGACCTCCTGGTCATTGGGCAACTAGGCAAGTACTTGTATCCTTTTAGATACTACTTATCTAACTTGGTCATTGGGCAACTAGATTCCCTTTTGATTACTGGTGTGATTGGCCTCTGACGCTATCCCACTGTTGTTTGAGATCATTATTTCTTTCATCTGTGCTTTGTGCTTGTTTCTGTGCCTCTTTGCTCTGCCACTGTCGCTCCTAGGCATATCCGGACCTCCCGCCTCCCACTTCCTGCCTTGTTGCGACATGAACGTCCTTAACAGAGAAGCAGTGTGTAGTTCAACGTTACCTAGATTGAGGTCCCAGAGCTTGAGGAGCAGTTGGGGAGCTCGAGGAGGTTTGGGGAAGGTTAGCTCACCAAGGCATTAGGCATTGGGGAGCTTTAGTATTGTTCGAGGGAGCTCGGAGACTCACTCGGATTGCTTAGACGTGAAGTAAAAGCATATATTAGACTGTATAGACAATCGTAGAGACAACAGATGAGAGTAGAGAGAAACTGAGATAGAGAAACAGAGAGTAACGAGAAATCCGTATAGTTAGCAGGTACAAAGGGACAGGGACTGGACCTATGCAAAAGGGTGTGTGTTCAAAATATACCAAGCTGGGGCTTGGGGATGTTGCGGAGCTACTTAAATAGGTACAGGAAGTGAACAAGGGAACATCAGGGGCCATGAGGCAGGTAATTGAGATTAGTACTTAATGGGGTTGGTGGTAGGAGGGCTTCTTATGTGTGTCGGGGGAGTTACGCATGTTGGGGAAGGTTTAGGAGTTACGCGTGTCAAGGAAGGTTTAGTGGAAGTGGGGGAATGGTGGTACTGTCTTGGGGAGGTACCAAGGTGGATTGGAAGTGCAGAAGTGTGAGAGCATGTGGCTGGTACTGGGACTGTCCTGGTGGTCGCCAGGACATGACACATCCACTCTTTCTTCTATTGAACAATCTCTTGTAATATCATTAACTACTGAATTCATTGTCCGATTCGGCTGCGCCGGCCAAACCTATCTCTGCTCTTCTTAAATTTCCTACTCTTGTTGATTCCAGTTCTACTGACTCTTTTATTGATACTTGTTACATTTCACAAAATTCTATTCCGACTACCAAGATTTCTCCTGTTAATCTTTGTCTTTTTGATGGTCATTATCTTCTAAACCCATTACCGATATGGCAAATATTGCTGTTCGGTTTCCTTCTGGCGAACTGCTTCTATTGCCCTTTTATGTTACTCATTTAGATACATCTTGTAAAGCAGTATTAGGTTACAGTTTCTTATCCTGCTACAATCCATTGATTGACTGGTCATCTCGAAACATTACGTTCCATAACACTTCACACTTTGATTCTCCACAGATGTCTGTGCCTTCTGCCACCAACATCGTTGATGCAAAGGTTGCTGTTCCGCTACCGGAACCTTTGCCATCAGTTTCACTGACAATTCTGGAAACCCCTCCTGGGGATTCACTTTGCTCTCATTCTCGCTCCCGCTCTCAGTTGAAACGGGCCAAGCCCCTTTCGTCCAAATTTCCCTTTGAACCCATCTATTCTTATCCTATGGTCTCTCAATTTGCTGCTCAACTGGAAACTCCCGAGATCGACATTGCACTTGTCAGTGCTGCAGTCTTTAATAGGGCTTGCAAGGACTCTGGTATGGAACCTATTCTTCTTCATGCTATCCACTCAGAGGTCGCGGCCCGTGCTGCCGACTGCTCCTCCACCACTCCTACTGGCCCTCCACTACATCACTCTATTCTAGAAGAGTACACCAAGTTTGCAGACGTCTTCGATGAGATCGCTGCAGATTCATTACCAGAGCACTGACCTTATGACTTGAAGATTGACTTGGAAGAAGGCGCTTCGCTGCCTGTCGGTCAAATTTATCCCTTGTCTGAAAAGGAGTTAGTTGCCCTTAAAGACTTTATTGACAAACAGCTGGCTACTGGTGCCATTACCCCATCTTCCTTGCCTCACGGTGCTCCAGTACTCTTCGTTCCCAAGAAGGACAGGAAACTTTGGCTTTGCGTGGACTTCTGCGGTCTCAACCGCATCACCAAGAAGGACCGCTGACACGCCTAAATTTTGGCTAGACGTCTATGCTGTGAATTGTGACATTTTCACGTATAGATTTGTATCAAAAGGACTGTAATTGAGACCCAGATTGACAGTCAAAGTCGATACTG